GTTCATGGCAAATTGTTAAAATCGGTTCGGCCATCACCGGAATGCTACATATCTGGTTTGAATATCATAGTTTCTATTATAATGGCATTCCTAAGAACAGCCAGGTTCTTCTCTTTTCCTGAAGAAAACCAACGCTTATAATATTACATTTCAGTATTCAACTCATTTTTAAAAAGGGAAGAAAGTCATCTGAGGTCGACGATTTCTAATGTGGTCAACAGTCGAGTATACTTTAAAATCAGTAACAAAGACTTAGTCTGTTATCGAAATTTAGCCTTCTTGATGGCTTATAAAGGAGTTATCGGGGCTACTTCCTCTTCGTAAGGCTTCAGGCCTTAAATAACGTTACGACCCTGTCACGAGGCTCGTCTTAGATTTACTCAGTAATTTCATGTGCATAGAATAACATTACATTGAATTACATTGACATATGAATAAGTGTATTTAATTGTAAATAAATATACAGGCTGTATACATGTAACATTAAGCTCAAGTAAGAAAACATGCATAAATACTTGGATATTTATTACGCACTGTAATATACTTTATTTTTATTTACAATACCTTAAACTAATATTTACAAACTTTCAAAACAAAAGCAATGATGATTACTGAGGCGAAAATGTAGATCAGCGACCATCTTGACTGTAATGATTATATCACAAATCCTTAAACCTCTTGAGGATTAATGTCCGCTGATTTCTATGCTTATAACGACAGCGTAAGAGTTAGGATCTTTTTTAAGTACCGGTCCAGGATTATCCTTTATCGGCGTCCTGTCTGCCATATAGAAATATGTCATCACTCATACTGTCATGGCCCATCATAGCCAAGGTAGGTGATAAGTACAAAGTAACAGAATATGATTATTTGATTTGATTAAAAGATTGTGTTTACTGACTGTTTAAGTTCTTAGTAATTTAGTAGATTTGTATGAACTAAGAATATTTACAAAGTTGAGAAGAAAAGTCCATAATGTTCAGAACATTGCTGACCAAACTGGTACAGTAGCATTCTATGAACCAGTGCATTCTTCCGAAACAGTGCTTCGTTTTTATTAGTGAGAATCCTTGCTCAATTGTTCCATTTTATCTATTTACAGTGAACAGACCAAGCCTCAACAGTGATGCGATATTATAGCGCCATGTCGTAGAATCGCTTGTAACATTACAGATAGGTTTTATTACCTTTACCACGAGGCTTATTCGCCGAAATACCATACGATCATCTGTGAAAAAAATAAAACTTTGTGCAGTATAGATGCGGTGATCATCCTTGAACTGTCTTGTAACGTTCGTGTTATTAATTCGGAGGATTTAATATGAGACCTAAGGAAATATCGGAAGAGTATTGCCTCACAAGACAAGTGTAGATAAATAGACGCATATATTACCTGGCTAACGCAACATCATCGCCGCTAAAGGTCTGAGCGAATAAATTTATGCTACTTCAATGGTATGGATATTTTTAGCACTAGCAAGTCGTAGCACTGGAAGCTGCTCGTACTCTACGTCTTTGTAACTGCGGCCGTATATTTATACACACACGCACACACACACACACATTGGAGGGCCTGTGGAATGAATATGATTCGTGTCTTGAAATTTCGGTGCACGAAAATTTGGGATTGACCATATTTCTAAATGATTTTTTAAAGAGTGGACGCAGTTGTCTAAGTACATTGGCTTTGAAGATGCTTCGTAAATATCCACGTTGATGTCTCTTACCTATTTTCAATCATATAATGTGCACATAGAAACTTTTATTCATTATTCTTTTAATTATAAATGTACTTTCCAAACTGAACGGTGTTAATTACACACTATGTGCATATCGTTGTATAAAAGCCACGTAAGACCATTTAGCTCATTTGATGTAAACTGGAAAGCAATAGATAATTTGCAATATGTAAATTAAGAACAGTGATATCTCGACATTTGACATTGGCTGCAAAGACTTTGAATACTCTCCCAAAGGAGGTGAATCACACATAAACAGATTGAAGCGAGATCTTGCTGGTCGATATCTATTTACATCTGCTGAGAGAGTAAGGGGAGTGAGAGAGTGAGGGAGAAAGGGGAGAAGGGGGGCGGGAAAATCAGTTCCCGATCGTCGATCCTTTGTGGTGGGAAGTAGAAAAACTAACTTTTCAGTCATTACTTTCTGCGCAGTTATCAGTTCACAAATGTCTGAAAACTGGGGCAACACATATGAGGATTAGTTCATGTTAAAATTTGGTGGATGGCCACAAGCACATTCGGCAAGTACTCTTGGTATCTTTATAAACAAATATTAATATATATATATATATATATATATATATATATATATATATATATATGTATGTATATATGTATGTATATATGTATGTATATATGTATGTATATATGTATGTATATATGTATGTATATATATATATATATATATATATATATATATATATATATATATATATATATATATATATATATATATATGCATGTATACATCTGCAGGAAGTTAAACGATAATTTCACTACCTGTAAATGTGCTAATCCTGTAAGTGCTATTAACTAGGAGAGTATTGTTAGCAGATAAAGAGCAAGTGGAGTTTTTTTTTCTTTCTTTCTTTCTTTTTTTTCTTTCTTTTTTAATAGATAAGAGAAAATGAAAGAAGAGAACGAAAAGGATATTGAATTTACAGTTGCAAACTCGTTACCGATAAACAGAGAAAGATGAGAAAGGATACTTAAAACTTTCTGAGTAATATTTTAACAAAGTTATTCATACTGTGTTTCAGTAAATGAAAGCTCGCAATGTAATGGCAAATACATTACATGTACACATAATTCTTTCCTGTAATGTATGAATCATAAAATTTAGGTGATATATCCTTGTCTGCACTCTCGCTAATCCTGCGTGTCCGAACGGCTACCAAAGGTAACAAGGAAGCAGAAGCTTTCCGTTGCAACCCAGAGAAAATGGAAGAAGAAAGCGAAAAGGAGATTGAAAGAGCATTGGAAATCAATCTAATTTCCCGGCCATAGTTCTGGAGGCGCAAAGTTCATCCCGGAAAGGGAAGGCGAGATGGCCACGGAGGCTGTGAACGGCTGCAGTCGCCGTCCACACGTCAGCCTCTCCGAGTGGGCGGTGCTTCAAGCCATGCTCGGAGTGCGTGTGTTCGGCTGAAGATTGGGCGAAGGTAAGGGGCGACCGTGCTTTCGGACAAGTGTAGAAGTGATCATCTTCAAGTCACTAATTATAGAAGAAAAGGAAGGGGGTCACAACTGGTTAGCAATTCGTTTCAAACGTAAGAAAATACTATCTGGTATTTTCTAACAGGAAACATACTTTTTTAATTATTTTTATCTCGAACGTGAAAGGTTCATCCTGGTAGTTTAGAATATGAAGGTAGCTAAAGTATAATTACCACACGTTCTAAAAAATTGCAACAGCAATAGCACTATCAACAACAAAAACCCGTCCGTAGGTGCAATATCTTCCCATTCCCCAAGAGAATAGGTTGACTGCCTCAGACCCAAAACAAAGTCCCAAAGCCCGTGGCATTGGTCTAATGAGCCGCCGAGGAGTCGACCCTTTCATCAAGTGCTCAATTTCGATCCATCAGGACGGCGTTCCTCCCTCGCCCTCTGTCTGTTCAGGACCCACATTTCTGCCCCGGAAAGGCTTGACATGGGGGCACGTGTTAAAAATCCAGCGAGGGGAAACCCATCAACAATTAGTCTTGGAAAGAGGGATATGATGAAGTAGAAACTAATTGAATTTGATTAAAACTCTTAACACAAGAGTGCTGGCGAGCAATTAGATTAAAGGTGTACATTTACTGCATATTATAGTATTGTTTAGATAATTCATGTGATATATGATGCGTTCTTTGGTAGATTCCCACAACAGAAGAAGACAGAGGATGGTAATTTTAAAAAGAATATAGCAGAAGAACCGTGGCGCACTTCACTATCACAAAGCGAGCAGCATTAACGACAGAATCAATGAAATATGTGTGTTAACGTTAATAGAAATGCTGTTATTATGTCTATAATTACAATGTGATTATTAGTGATGATAATAGTAGTAATAATAGTAGGAGTAATAATAAATATTATGATAATAAGATGATAATAAGACCATTTTAAATTTTATAATTATTACTGTTACTATTATTATGATTATTGTGATTATTTTTGTTGTTTTGTTATTGTTGTTATTAATATTGGTAGTAGTAGTACTATTATCATTGTTGAACAGGATGTACAATTTTCAGTAATTGCGGATACGATTTTTTTTTCCTTCTTTTTAAACATTGATAGCTTGAGCCATAGTTTAGTTTTGCTATCCTGTTGTTTCTATTTTTTACTAATGACGTGAATTTATTGCACATGTATGCGCAGTATATTGCAATTTATAATGTGGTCACATGGCAATTAATTTGCATGAAGAAAATTATGATAACCATATCTCTTTCTCTCTGTCTGCATCCTACATGCTGTGTCCAAGTATTCAAGATATCTGGATAGATGCTGATGCTGAGATTGACGCAGATATCCGCGGATGCATTTGCGGATTCGGATATCCGGTCTACATCTATTTGGTATTAATGATGACAGTAGTAATAGTGATATTGATAATAATATTAATACTACTAATGATAATTTTAATTCAGCACATTGAGCACCAACCCGGTGTGCAGAATCTACAGTAGTCTGTAAATTACTTTTTCAAAAGGATATGATAACTTTTGAATTAAACACATCATTGGATTCAAGAGTTGGTATGCAGAAGAAGTCTAGTAAAGGTTAAGAACTGCGCTAAGACATGCTGACTCAAACCGACAAAGAGTCTAGACTAGATTTTGGAATGAAGGACGGAATGAGGAGAATTATCTGCTGCAATGAATACTTTTTGAGAACAACAGAACGACTCTGCAAGTATGGAGACAGAAATATGGAATAAAAGAACCACGATAAAAGCAGAAGGTTATCATGGAACCACATTATGCATGC